AGACCCACTTAAAGTTATTATTTGATTAGTTTAAATTTGTGGACACCCTGTACATTACGAAAATATTTTAAAAATGTGCGCTCGGTAGGCGTCGGACAATTCATAAAATAATACTTTAAAAAAATCAAACGGTTTAGCGACAAACGTCCGTGCCGTATAGCGTGAATAACCCTGTATACTTATACGTATAATTGTGTAGGACCCCAAAGGAAAATTAGCATCTTTGAGCCGAAACTGTGTCGACAAAGTGCCAGCTGATGGAATAACTGAAGACTCCACTTACAGAACATACCAAAGATCCTGCAAAACCGACCTGTGTAACTCTGGAAGTGGTAAAAGTGACTCCAATAGCGGTACATCCGATTTGGGGGATAAATCGACAATTTACGCGCCTGGAACTGGCATATCGGCTGCGAATTCGATAGTGGCTGGCGCTTTGAGTGCAATTTGTGTAATTCTGGTGCTTCTCAATTAGATGCACCCAAAAAATGGGTTAGGAATATACGTTTTTTAAATAATTGTATTGTGTGTATAAATACCACGCAAATCAGGACCTTATCATTTCTCTCATTTTTTCATAATGTTCCTTCGCCTCCGCTTCGAGTTCTTCATATTTCCGGTTGACCTCATTGCAACAATACTCTTCAATAACCTTGATTAACTCGCCAACTGTCCATAAATCCTGCGGCTTTTGCATTAGAGCAAACTGACACTGGGGCGAGTGCTTCAAATGTTCCGACCAGGGCTCATCATTGGCTTCCCAGTTATTCAGTTGCTTCGTACAGAAACAGCATTGCACTGAATCGGGATCCTTGTACGATCCAGTGAACACGAATCCCGCCTCTGCCATCTAAACACCAAACATATCGCCTTAGTCAGTTAGTTTAACGTAGTCAATAACGCATTTGTTGTACCTTTTTGATACTACAGGGCTGCCTGCTGCTGAAAGGCCATACGGTGAATGTGGCTTCTCTTGCCTTCTCTGAACGTAGATATGTTATTGCTTTTCGGTTCTGGTCTGCCTGTAAACACTGAAATGCGGCTCACAGGAGTTGAAAATGTTTAAAGTGGCCTTCGCGTGTACGGGAGTACTGAAGTACTCGCCATACCAGGCCATTCTACCTATTCAAGAAACTGGTGTCCTCGGTTCAACCAGTCCAATTAACAGTGAAGAAAATTACTTAGTAGGTTTATATCAAAGTAACAAATAATGTATTCTGTGTAGGCTGCAAACAAAACGGGAAACCGTTACTGAGCAATATTTAGATGCAATTTTATAAGCAGCTGCAAATGTGAAAAACTAAGTTAAACAGAATGGGCGAAGCTTAAAGGACACCAGCACCAACCAGAGATTGATTATGAATGATTGATTATATTATAAGATGCACTTACCATAATGCAGGGCGATTTTCTTGTGGGCCCCTAACACTGGACAGATAATCGAAGAAACCGTTTGCACAGAATGAATATAAATAGAGTTTCGAGGAAATCTTCTACCTACTGTTCCATAGAACAAGACTTAGTTTTTGTGCACTTTTTTCTCCGTTTCTGTTCCGACTGAAAACGGATAAACAAATTCGAACTTGACATCTGAGATGTCATCTAAGCAACGTTGCCAACCCGAAAGCTTGAAAGTCACTAGATCGCCTTATGCGCAATCGGTACATCTCGGCAAACATCGGTAAATTTTAAATAAGGATGCATGACAAAAATTGCGGAAAAATATTCACATACATAAAAAATTCGTTACACAACGTAACAACGATCAGAGTTATGATTCTAACAGCATGAAATATTCAGGGTGATTTTGATGATTATTAGAAACAGTAGATAAAGCTCAAAAACATAAGCGTAAAAAATTAACCGTTTTCCCAAATCTCAAAATTAATTAAAAATATCAAATTATCGAAAAAAACTTTCTAGCAAAGACATTTTTGCACTTGGTGATTTTTAATCTCCGTGTCCAAGGAATAATATGGCAGCTAATTGCAATTGGAAATTTAGTGCTACGAATGCCCCTACGTATAAACAGAGACAACGTCAGGGAAATATTTTTTTGCACAAAAACTATGAATTCTACAAGATTTTAACAAGAACATGAAAATGTCAAAGAACGGTTATTGTCTTCATTAAAAAAATCAGTCGATTCCAGACACTAAATAAAAAGTTCTGATATTTTTAAAAAGACCCTCAAGAATGCACCATTTGTGAGATAAACTCGGTTGCTTCATCAAAATATAAATGCAAAATCCATCGTATCGTTCTCCCGATGTTTCCAAAAACATTTGTTTTAAGCATTTTAACCATCAATAACATCCGAGCCAGACATTTTTTCTTAACAAAAGTTAGGGCCAGATCGTCTTCTTTTGAGCCAAACAATATCGCAGCATATATTTCGGTTGCATTTGGGGCAATTTGATAGTTTTAATTTCTAATCAAGAAAAAATTGTTTGGAATATACGCGCAGAACAAAATTGCCTTTACAAAAAACTGTGTGTTTTCCTCAATCTTGGGTATTTGCCATGCATCTTAGGAAGGAGCAAAAACTTCGAAGCGTAAACTTATTGTCTCCTATTGGCCCAGATTTATCACCCATTCGGTGTAGGCGGCAAGGGCGGATCCAGGGGGGGGTCATGGGGGCCTATTCAATTCTCTATCCAACGATGCCAAAATGAATTCTCTGGCTCGAATGGTTCTTGAGAAACTTCGCAAAAAGCAGCGTCATGTTCAAGTGGATTTTGCAACTCAACAAAACCATGCAAATCTAAAACTTCTTGAATTCAAGCATTTTTTTGAGAAAATTGCCAACATTTCCTTATCGATGGTTCACTTGCTAAAAAGGCCATTTATTTCTCTCTAGAATGACGTACAAATGAGCGTTCTTGTTCATTTTGCCT